AGGCGCCTTGTCACGACTCCCTGGCACATTTGAAAAGTCTGCACTGCACTTTAGTTTCATAATGGAGGATCATACTTATGCCGACCACAGGACAGAATGACATATCGTCGGGAAGAAAGCGAGAAAAGGGAATGTGACTGGCGTATTCAGAAAACGAGGGGTCAACATCGGGGTACGGCGCTTTTCCCAGGTGGAAAGAGCTAATGAAGGAGAAAGACTTTGAAAGGGACGCTGAAGTTGGCCTGCTTTCTCCCTCGACAGGTAAGTCAATGTGACGGTCTAAATTAACAAGGCTTTTTATTAGCTTGGGTGTGTAACGTAACACTAATGATGTCAATGCAGTTGTAGTTTTGTTGAAATAACGAACAACCTCATCACCCGAAAGATAACTCGATGAAGTGGTATTGGAAGACATGTTGTCATAGCTTCTTGGTACATAATGGCTACCGTAGTTGCAATACAACTTTGAAAACGCGGAGGCGCTAGAGAGCACTATTCGTTTGAATGCCAAAATACAATTTCACGCTACGGATGGGTTCCTACACAATGTACCTTTAAGCAACAATTCAAGACAGTCAGTAAAACTACAGACACATTTCCTTGTGAAAAGTCAGCTCTAATATAAATGACGCAGTTCTCCATCTGTGAGACATCCTGCGGCCTACTTAAACTCTGAGGTTCTGCCTTTCATATTATAGACAGATTACATTGGAGCATTTCAATTGAGAATAAAAAGAATCTGATTGGTCTAAATATATTCTTTCTAAATGAACACCAGAAGAGGTAGAGAGGCACCGATCCTATGTAGAGGCTTAGCAGACTGTCCACTGGTTTCTTAGATGTAGTGGATTTTAATTGACATTTAAACACTGCAGTCATTGACTTAAAGGCACACTGAAGTGATCTAGTATTGCACTTCTACTAAGGGGGACTTGCGAGAGACAGATTTAAAAAAAGAGTGAAAGGTCAAAATCACTGCAGCAGAGGTCAATAAATCTTGATCAGTCCTTAGTATAGGTCAAGCTCCAAAACTGCTGGATCCTACACTTCCCAACATGCAGCTTGATACCTTCTTTAGTAAACTCCATGCTGCCAGTTTGCTTTCTGTTGTAAATCTGTAGTATATAAACCCAAGCTGAGATAACCAGGTAACATAAACAGGTTCTATTTTTAAAGATTTCAGAAAAGTTGCTCCATAGCCAAGTTCTGGGTCTGGTTCCAGAAGTAAACAACAAACTCATTCATCCTTGTTCAGACAAACACTTCAACAGACAGACTTAAGAGGACAAGTGGTTGGGATTGTTGGGGGAAAGGATGGGTGGGGTGCCTTTCACAGTTGTATTCACTTGAATAATGCTCATGTTATATGCTTGCATGTACTTCCGTTTTCAATATACGGCACACAAATGTATGGTGGGTTTAAAGGAAAATCAATAGAGAATGCTAAAACAGAGAGTCTAGCTGCAAAGTTGGAAAAACAACATTAGCAGAGGGTGTTGGTGGAAATCTGAGCAGCATCTGAATTTGATTTAAACCTTATTGCTACAGTGTGATGTCTAAAGTATGTGTACATACACCACCACATTACCCTGGTGCCTTGTTTGAAGACAGATGAAAAAAAGTGGTTTGGTAACCATCCATCCAATCCAAAGCCATTTGAGGTTCCAGCTGAGTTTAGCATTATGAAACAATTTCAACTGCTATAACGTGCCTCTAAAATGTCAGAATAGAATAGCATCATAAACACTATATTGATCCCGGGGGGGAATTTGTTAAATTATTTAGTATAAACAGCTCTACTGCAGTTTGGGAAAAAACAACAAGATAATATTATATTAATAAATAAAAGGCAAATACGACGTATGTGGCCATTGTTGGAATAATACTGTATGGATCAGCAGCGCTCACCAGAAACTCTGAGGCATCTCTAAGTGCCGACTCACTATTGCACAAGCATACTTTATACTGTGTGTGAGGCACGAGAAAACAAAGGCTATATTTATAACGGCTACTAAAAATTAAATGACGCATTAAAATGTTTTTTTTGTAGACAGCAGTCAAAAAGGTCTGAGGGCTGTGCAACAGCTTCAGTGTGTTAAACAGTCTTGTAGGTTTCAATTTACTATTTCGGCCTCATTCTAGAGCTGATATGGGTTCACACTCACAATTAATGCAACTGAAATGAAATTTTGACTTAAAGAAAAGCCAAAAAACGAGCACAGAGGACAGACACTGTAAAAGATTATTGCTTGCTGCAGATAAATCCGTGGTCCTTCCTGTCTGTATCAGAATCATATGGAAAAACCACAAACCACAGGTCAAGCACTGTACAGGAAACACCTAACACATGACACTGTAACTGAGCTTTCTGTCTGCAGCATCAGATTCAGTTTCAGAGTGATTCATTTAGGGCGTGGATAAACATAATATCATTATATCATATTAGAAATTACTCTCCTAAAATTTCTTAACAAAAATACACAAGGATTCAGGTATCTATTCACATATAAAAATAGTTTTTTAATTAGTTTCGTTATCTTTGCACTGCAGATGACTGCAGCTATTAAAGGCCACATATGGACAATATTGTACACTGACTGAACACTGAAGCTTTGTGGTTGTGTGCTCAACGGAATATTTGAATTTCAAAATGCCTCCTTTCTTCATGTGATAGAAGCAATTCTGAGAAAATATAGTAGAACTAATGCTTCAATCACATGTGCAAGAGGCTGCAGCACCACCTACTGTTTGAGTGTGCTGCGGCGTGACGTAAGGGGAACATGTGATGCAGGCCCACGGGCATTATTTCATAATTGCTGGAATGCTGGTAAATAGCATTCAAAAGGGAACTTGATCAGTGTTGTTGTCAGGGGGTGTATTCCAAGAATATCACAGAATTAGTGGTGACATAACATGTGAATTGCAGCGTGTCATGACGTACAAGTCAAATGTATGATATTTTTTATGTACAAACTCCTTGTTCCTGCTTAGAGGAAGTGAGATCCTGTGTTTCCACACCGGCTGATACAGTGATGTCGGTTATTGGTGCTCCCCTTTTTTCTCCAGAGTTCACTAACCAGACTCGTCTCTGCTTCAGTCCACTTTGTCACACGCTTGCAAAACTCTGTGGTTGAAGTCCTCTGGCTGGTCAGCGTATACATAGTGTCCGGCTCCACGGATCGTCTGCAGAACAGGAAGGGAAGTGGGTGATTAAAAAGAGGAGGTGATATAGGAAGAGAGGCCATAAAATAAAGTATAGCTTTTACTGGAGAGCGCTGCGTCTTTGGTTTATCGCTTTTATAAAACAAAGATGGAGAGTTATGTTATCACAAGTCAGTAGAGAGGAGACTTCAGTTTTATAATCCTTTATGATCACATAATTACCTTTTATTCACACCCTACTGAGAGGAAATAAATGACTTTCTTATGAAGTATGTATCACAACAGATTGGAAATAGCTTGTTTGCAGCAAAGATGAATTATAGACCAAATTCTTTATTATAAGTAGGCAAGAAGGGGGTTCATATAGAAAACATAAGAAGGGGATAATTGTTGATTTCTTTTTCTACAACATTATTTTGTAATCCTTGGTTAGCCCCTGTTTTCAGTTGATATATTCTTAAAATGTTTTCTTGTCTTGCATTGGGGTCAACATTTCTGACCATGAGCATGAAGGTGCATTGTTTTACCTTGGGAATACTAGTGTGGCAAAGTCATCTAAACTCAAGGTCCACTTACTAACCAAGGTTCCACACTTGTCCCACTGTCACAGGATGACATGATTTGTTGATGAAGACCATAAGATACCGTTTAAAGCTTAGGAAAATCTAGAAAGTGGGTCTTTGAGAGAAAATTCTTTTGCCACATTTCTTACTATGTATGGCATTACTAAAGTATATTTAATAAAACAATGTTTTATTGGGCTTAATTATAAATAAAAGTTACATTTTATGAAATCATTTGATCCTGTGTTTATGTCTGTCTTACATCCCACTGGTTACATGGGAACATATGATTTATTATTAGTCTTTTCTAATTACTTGAAGGTACTAAGTGCATCCAGTGGCGGGAAAGGAATATCCATTGCATGCAGCCATTTTAGCATGTAAGTTTTGGAATTTATTCACTTGCCACTAGTATTGTACTAGAGCACACGCATCTCAACAGCTGACCAGACTCCATTGAAATAAACAATTTTACCTAGCAGATAGTTGTAAAACACACTTCAAACTGGACAGAAATAAATTAAAACTAACTAAAACTGTCTTTGTTAGTCGTTCTACAGTCTTTCCAACAATGATCAATTCTCGTTTCACTGAATTAGATGATAAAGTAGTTAGTCCTCTGGGACAAATGCACCTGTCAAAGTACGTCCACTAAAAGTTGCTGTTTTTGCCACTCGCTTTACGCCAGACTCCATAGACAAAAACGTTATCTTTACTTTGCATATCATTGTAACATCATAACTTTATTCAAACAAAATAAAACTCAACAACTTTTTACTGTTTGACTGTTGTCCACTAACAATCATATAGGTCTGCAGTCGGAAAAGGAGGGACTCACCTGCACTAACATGACTGGCTTTGTAAACGAAGTACAGACCGACTGTGATAGCAACACAGGCGAAGGGAGTATAACCTTTAAGGAACAGGGGCTAACAATTCTATTGTCGGGCAGCTGAACTGTAAACTTCCATTTTAGCATAAAATTAACTGCAAGAAACTTTGCTATGTACAAAGTTATATGACTGTATAATTAGCATTTTACACTCCGACCACAGTATATCTATGACAATTACGTGGAAGCACTAATGAGGTTTGGAGAAGGCGGATTTTTCCCAGGAAATTCTCTAGAAACACTGAGAACTCAATGATCTAATATGAACACAAGCACAAAGGGATATTTGATACATTTCAACTGATTTCTCTCCAGTAATAACCGCAACCTTGCCAGCTGCACTATTTTACATTCTATAAATGATAATAAAAATACTATAACACTATTTTTTTCCTGTCATTAAAGGTATTGGCATGTATCTATTGGCAGAAGTGGAATATGATATTCATAGGTATAATCGTGTCTTGTAAAGCAGAGATGTGAAATAGAAACCAGCTTGCTCAGTTGCCTGAGGATGGTTGACCAAAAAGATCTTTAACTGGGATAGAGCACACAGTCATCCTTGGACAAGAGATGATTCAGCAATATTTGCTCTTTCTGGTTTACACTTTATATTCAGGAACAATCTACAGTGTGATATAAATATAATTAAACAAAAACTACAACAGATCCTTAAGGAACACTAAAAAGAGGAGACTTGTTATAAACCAAAGATCAGAAACTATGTTCAAATCAAGATTACTACACAGAACCATATTTAATATTTAAAGAACTGCTACCTTACCACTGGCAACTGAGCTAGGCAGACATTAAGGTATTCCTGAAGAGCAGCATTTATGTGCTGTGTGATCTTGGTGTTTTAGAGGATGAATTTCTTAGTTATTTTCACTACCCATGTACAATGATTGGAGGAACCAATGCATAGCAATTAGGACTGTATCTGTCATAATAAGCAATTTGGTACTGAAAATGTAATCTTATTAAGGGTTTCCTTTTTTTAATTTGTGGAATTGTACATTACAATTTATCATGTGCTGTTTAGTGTCTTGTAAGCTCATAAGAATAGTGCAGGACAATTAAAGAATCAAAGTCAAATAAATCAGTCATAGGTATGTTTTCATTAGAATATTCCCAGAATAAGAATCATTGTCTTTTTGTTGCCATATAATGAGCCATTTATGTCTACAGAAACGCAGGTCGCCTTTCGTGGCTCCAGATAGGTGCGTTCGTGTTTGGAAGGGGAGCGTGAACGAGGAAGTTAAGATCTGAAACTAGATGCCACTAAATCATACACACTGGACCTTTAACCGTCTTCAAAATGTGGTTGTCTTTTCGACATAGAGTAGCCTAGCACATAGCAATAAATAAGTACAGGAAAGCAGAAAGTTGACCAAGGTTCTGACCGGACTTGCTCAACTCTTATTGGAGGACAGAGTAAAAAGAGGAGGGACTTAGGAAGGGTCAACAAACTTTCATCCAGGGCACCATGAACTTACTATGGTCTCCACATGAGAGTGTGGCCTCATCTGTTTCATGGTAGTGCCTGAGTTGCTGTCTATGCTGGAGCGGGATCCGTAGATGATGGTGATGGGGATGTCGGGCTGAAGCTGGTCCATCCTCTGCAGCATTGGCCTCTCAGCCCAGCCGTTGGGAACAGTCATGTTCTTAAAAGCCGTTTCCCCACTGTGACGATACAGAAGAGCAATTCACTCGGCACAGGGCAGCAAATGTTGATGACAAGGCAAAACATCAGATAATAAAACTCAAATGACTGCAACAAAGGTAATGAATAAATTGCTTTCATTGCAGTTAAGCAATAGCAATTACATTGTAATTAAGATAAGCAGCAGCGAGGAGGCTCATGGAGAGACAGACCTGGGGGTTTGCACATTCAGGTGGTAGATGTACTCTGACACAGTGTTGTCACTGAACATGGACAAGAACTTCTTCTTGAAGTCGGGTCTCAGAGTCTGGACCAGAGTGGGGCCTGAAGGGGCAGAAACAAGCATGTAGCCATTAAGAGACGATGCTGCTTCATTACATTTTACATGATTTTAACAACGGGGAGGGCTGGGGGGCATGGAGGGCACCACGGTGTCACTTGATTTCTCTGCAAAGTCTGGACCAGATCAGCTTTGGTGGAATTCTTGTTCTCTCATGCGCTCATCATACAACTAGTTTTAATTAGAAGTCAGACTAGTTTTCTCTATATTAAAATCCCCCTCCAGTCAGAAACCAGTGTTTCTTCTTGTTGCTACAGTGTGCTGTTTGAATGCTGTCTGTGCAGAGTTTGACTACTGATACTACTCTATTTGCTCTACTGTTACCTGTAGCCCCATGTATATTCACTGGATCCTGCAGCCACTACCCAGTTTCCTTTCAGGGATCATTAAGGTTTCATCTAATCTAATTGATGAAAACAGACTAGGAATCTTTGCTGAGTCACGTTGTTGGTCCAGACTTACCCAGTGGTCCGACCAGTCTCAGGCCAGCCAGGGGGTTGAAGGGACTGAACATGGCACCCAGGGCCTTGATCCATACCGGGATGGGACGGTCTGCCTCTACTGTGTTTGGGCGCTCAGGGAAACCCCAGGGCTCCACCAGCACTATGTGCTTTACTCTTCAGGGAGATGACACAGAAATGAAACACACATTATAAGTCAAATAGATTATACAGACCCACAAATATCTCCTAACCTGAACTAAAGCAACAGGAAATTTTGCTTATTTGCTTTCATGCTCAGAGTTAGATGAGAAGATGGATACAACTCTAATGTCTGTGTGCTAAAGATGAAGCTAATCTCTGGTGCTGCTGGCCTGTTAGACCTAGACAGGTGTGGTGGGTGGAGGTACCACATTACTGTATCTATGCAGTCTGCTTGGCCAAAACTATGAAAATAACACAGAAAACACAGATTGTAAAATCCATCCTTGGAATCAAGGACACATTTATATTTCAAAACTGCTCTACTCAATATTTTTATAGGGGGTCACAAGGCCTTCTTGATTTTAAGGGGTGTAAGAAATCTTACAGTAGGTCAGCATGTCATTCATTTTTCTGCAGAAGAAGAAAACTAAGTGAAACTCTTATTTTTGAAGTGTGAATTATTATTTAAGATATAAACTGGTGATGGGATGGTGAAGAGCTGAACACAAGCAATATTCACAGAGCCTTCCATCTCTGCCAAAGATCCTTGTCCTGCATTATATAGGACTGTAGCTAATAGAACAATAAGAAGGTAAACAGAGTTAATAAAAAAAGCCTATGTATGATTGTTAAAAAGTAGACAGGAGGATTGTGTAAGAAGTTTCAAAAAATATCAGGAAAACTGATGAAAATTGATCAATATTCACAGGAAATAATCTGCTCAAAATTCATCCAAATCGGTCGCACAACACAAACCTCCTGCTGTTACTGTGTTCACTATTTGGGTTCATTGTACAGTTTGTTTCAGTTGTTCTCTACTGTTATTGTTATGCATTGAAACAACATGAAATGTACAGAAAATAGTATACTCTTAGTTCACTCAATGACAGAAAAGGGCTCCCTTAAGGAGAAAGGTTGGAAACCACCATGAACGTGCTGCCCCTGCATCAGAAACAACCCCAAATCTACAGTATGCCAACTGTACTACATGGCCTTAAATTACACACAGTATGGATTGTTTTTGTTATCTATTATGTTTTGTTCTAAACTTCCTCTTCAGGCCACAGCAGGAACAATGAGCACAGCTTAAATCAGGACATATGTTCCTGATTAAGAGCGTCTCGTGTTAGAACTTAAAGGCCATTTGGAACGCGGAGATAACAATAAGAGGACAGGAAGAGGGATTTTTTTAGCATTAGTGATGAAGGAGGGTGATAAGGGATTGAGGACATTTTATCAGACGTCCCTTGGGGAGAGCAGGGTGCCTGCTGGAAGCTCGGAGCTGAGAGACGCAGAGAGAGGAGGTGATTCAGGAGAGATAGAGTCTAATGGGAGGAGAGGGGCTTTGGAGGACACTGCCGTTATCACAGGCTGCCAGCACCTGCAGGCACGACGCTACAGCTATATCCTGTACACATGCTGGCATGTTCCGCTACGGTTATGTTAGCGCTAAAAGGACAGAATCATTATTCAAAACACTGTTCAAGTCAGAGTCATTTTTCTCCTTCCGGCAGAGTCTGCTTCTTTGTTCTGTGTCTATTAACAGTCGTGGTTAGAGGAGGATTCTGGTTTATTACAACAATCTCTACTTACTCACTTATTCTGGGGGCTATTCTGTCAACACAGCACTGGCATATCATCACCTTTTAGGTTGATGGGGCGAACTTGATGGCAAGCAGTTGCATTTTTACACATCCAGCAGACACAGAGCAACATTATTATTCATTTGGAGTCGTGTTCGTGTCTGCCTGATTAATATTAGTCCAGTATTCACTTTCTCTTAGCTCTGTTTGTAGTCTCTACCCACTCCTGAGCGAAGTATCTGTCTGTTTAGCTGCTGAATGCTGCACTACGTTCACCAGCTAGTTGCTAACTGTATTTGCATGCCGTTTGGTGCTGGTCATGAAACAATAATACAATAACAATAACTAGTTTGATAACGTATTCATTGTTTACGTCATTTTTTAAGCAAAAACACAGAAACATCTTCTGGATCCTGCTTCTCTCGGTTGTATAACCTTTGAAACTTTGGGTTTTGGACTGTTGGTTGGACAGAACAAGCAGGCTGAAGATCTCTGAGAACTTTCAATGGCCAATTCTAACAATATTTATTGCCTTTATTGTGATAATTGTCACAATATTAATTTTGTCTCCATCACCCACCCCTGCATCTAACAACATAAAAATATACAAGATTAATACAACTCAAGCGGTAGATTCGAGGTTGACCGATATTACAGGCCCATACTGGCCTATGGCAGACATACTGGTATTGTATCGGTATTCCTGTATTTGTTAACTGATATAAAAATGTTTTTTTTCCACTTTTTTAGTGCACTGTGATTTACAACACTGTGACAAGCAGCACAGAGTAAGAGAGAAGAAGCAGCTCTTAGCAATGTCAACTGTTGACGGTTGACAATGTATATGTTCAATTATTCAGAGGTTCAAGCACAAGGGGGAGATTACAGTAGCCACAAACTGCCCTATCTAGAGCCAGTGATCGGTTTGGCGGCCTCTATGTTGAACTGCCATGGTGACTTTCTAAAATCGGTATCTGTCTCAAAGATCCCATATCGGGCTCTACTCAAAATATTACAAAGTCTATCATCCTCCATCTCTCAGTGTCAGTCAAAAAGTCTCATTTGCTGAATGTTTCACACTGAACTATATCCACATGTCCTGACTGTGGCTGTGCCCTTGGTACAACATTTATCACACTAAATGCAGTTCATATCAACAAGATCTGCACCAAAGGATAAAAGATCCCCTTTAAATTAAAAACAACACAACCCTACAGTGAGATAAGAGAAATCCTGCAAATCTGCACCCACCTGCCTGGGTATTTAATAGAGTATGACACAGCCAGGTATCCTCCCAGGTTGTGTCCCAGCACTATCATGGACTCCAGACCCACTTGAGCCCTCCACTGCTCTATAGACTCCACGAACTGCTCCTCTGCCTCCTGAGCGTCTGTGGAGAACAGAGGTCTGCTGCTCTGTCCAAAGCCCAGCAGGTCCAGGGCGAAGACGGGCCGACGCTGGGACAGAGCGTCCAGGTTCTGGGCCCAAAGGCCGACGCCGCCTCCGAAGCCCGGGAGCAGAACCATGGGGGTTTTGTCTTTGAGGTGGTCACTGCTAAAGGTCAGGGTCCACAGCCGGTTGCCATTGGAGATGGGGACATACTTCTTGGAGAAAGTGCTGTCTACACCTGGAAAGAAAGGGAAGGACAAGGAAAGACATGAAAGATTTTAGGATTAGGTTAAATGAAAGAGAGAAATGAAAATTGGCCACAACCTCACTCTTATGCCATTTATATTTGCACTTACTATTTGGTTCAAGTTCACCAATTGTTGTTGTGTTTTTGAAGTGACATCCTTTCACAGTGCATTGGTGTATATTTACATTTACATGTCAAATGGCATGCCAATAAAGTCTATTAAACTGAAAATTGAATTGAGTAAGTGAGTGTCCACAGTTGAGCATAAAGTCACTGTACAGTTCCTGCTCACATCTGATTCTTACTCTGTTCATTAATACAACTCCCACATTCTGATCAGAGGCCTATGTGGAAAGTGAAAGGCTGATCCTTACATCGCAGCATCCTGTCCTCTGCAGCCTGTAGCTGGATCTGAGAGGTGGGACACCATGACGGCAGCCAGCTGGGGATCCAGCACCACCTACACAGACACCAGAGCTCAACTTCAATCATCGGGTTTATGAAGTACAGAAAGGACATGGTGTCACTGCATGGGGGACTTTAGACAGACTGCTAACTTAAGCAGAGAAATTAAACAGCACAGGGTAAACAAGCTAAAACGTATATTAAAAACAGCATAAGGACTGAATGTTAGCATTTATAGTGTCTCAGAGCATCACATATGATCTCTCTCCTTTCAAAGGAAGGCTCTGTTGACGCAGTGTGGTTTAGGGGACAGAATGTTAGAGAGTGCAGAACTGTAACAAAAGTCATTGTGTTTAATCTCTCACACAAGAAGTGAGTAAAATCATTTATTTTCAGCAAAATGTGCTTTTTATATTCATGAGGCTGCAGCATTGAGAGACCCCTGAGGGACATTATGTGGAGATGTCAACATAACATCTCTGCAGAGGAAAAAAATGAAGGAAATAGTGAAATGACGCAATTTTCTTCAGTCCATACGTTTTTTGTAAGAGGATGTGGGGAAAGGTCTTTCTGTTGAGTAGTCCTTTTCCTCATTTTCTTCTTTCTGACAGTACTAGTAGTAGATACTTTTTCTTTTTGCATAAAAGATTTTGATGATCACATAATAAGATTTGTTAGGCCTTAAAAAAACTGCACAAATTTGCACACTCGGTCCAAAGTCAGTGGTGTTGGTCTCTTCTCTGAAAGCCGCCTGCATCAACTTCCCTACTACAAGGTATGAAACTCCCTGGTATAAACATTTTTAGTGTGGCTATTTGATACTAGATTGCTATATTGATGCTAAATATTGAATTGAACATTCTCAGATTTACTACCTGATTCTGAATTGAACATTTTGATTTTAATTATTTGGATGCTAAAGATAAATTGAGGAGATTTGTCTTGAATTGCACATGAATTGTTGAGTTTATGCTGATTTATTGCTAAGGTGTAAATTCCGTAGATTTGTCTTGAATTGACATGGGGGTGTTGAATTTAAACGGCCAGAAGAGACCTGATGCTGCCTCATTAATTATCTCCATTAGGTCACTTTTAGAAAAATTACTTTTTCTCATATTTGCTGAAATATGGTTGTCAAATACCAACACTGGGAATGAGATACAACAATCAACTATCTTCAAGCCATTAACCCAAAACTATCTTTCTCAGCTCTGATTGTTTTTTTTTCGTTCATAATGATAATGATGTTGACTGACAATATGAATTCCTCTTATTCCTATAAAATGTGACATTGTTATTTAATTTATTACATTTTCAGTTTGTTATATTGTCATAATGAGGTCATAATCAGTTTTTGCTATAAAAATGGCATTTGTTACATTAACAATTGGTTGGGTCACCGAAGTTTCCCAACAGGTTTAATTACATTTTGACCCACTGGCTCCATTATTAGCTAATAAAGTCCAATAGTGGGGGAGGTACATACTCATATAACTAGAGGCATGGCAGGT